AATGAATAAAGTACATATCAATGATCACCTTAAATGTGAACAGATCGAATGCTCCGATAAAAAGATACAGAATAGCTGATTGGATAAAAAAGCATGACTCATATATATGTTGTTTCCAAGAGACCCACCTCACAATGAAAGACTCACATAGGTTAAAAGTGAAGGGATGGAAAAAAATGTTCTAAACAAACGGAAATGAAAAAAAAGCAAGGGTAGCAATACTCATATCTGATACAATAGATTTCAAAATGAAAACCATAATTAGAGACAAAGAAGGCCACCACATAATATTGAAAGGATCTATCAAACAGGAAGATATAAGCTTGATAAACATATATGCACCCAATATAGAAGCACCTAAATATATTAAAAACCTTTGGGAAGACTTCAAAGGAGAAATCAATAGCATTACAATCATAGCAGGGGACTTCAACACCCCGCTGACATCACTGGGTAGATCCTCTAGACAAAAAATTATCAAGGAAACAGAGACTGTAAATGAAGCACTAGACCAAATGGATTTAATAGATATCTACAGAGAATTATACCCCAAAACTACAGAATTCACATTCTTCTCAAGTGCACATGGGACATTCTCAAAGACAGACCACATGTTAGGGCACTAACTAAGTCTCTACAAGTCCAAGAAGACAAAAATCATATCAAGCACCTTCTCAGATCACAATGGCATGCAACTAGAAATAAATTGCAAGAAGACCATGCAAAGACATTTGAACACATGGAGGCTAAATAGCATGTTATTAAACAACAAAAGGTTTGCCATGGAGATCAAGGAAGAAATTAAAAGATTCCTGGAAACCAATGAAAATGAACACACAACAACACAAAATCTATGGGATGCAGTGAAAACAGTTCTGAAAGGGAAGTTCAAAGTTCTACAGTCCTACCTCAAGAAACAAGAAAAATTTCTAATTGACTGTCTAACCTCACAACTTAAAGAAGTAGACAGCAAACAAAAAGGAAACACCAGAACAAGTAGAAGGAAGAAAATAGTAAAGATCAGAGCAGAAAAAAATGACAGAGACCAAAAAGACCATTCAAAGGATCAATGAAACAAAGAGCTTGTTTTTCGAAAAGATAAAAAAGATTGATGGACCCTTAGCTAGACTCACCAAGAAACAAAGAGAGAGAACCCAAATACACAAAATCAGAAATGAAAGAAGAGAAGTAACAACTGACAACACAGAAATACAAAATATCGTTAACAACTACTATGAACAATTATATGGCTACAAACTCAACAATCTAAGTGAAATGGACAAATTTCTAGAAACACATAATCTCCCAAAACTGGACCAGGAAGAGATAGAAAACTTCAACAGACCAATATCAACAGAAGAAACTGAAGATGTAATCAAGACTCTCCCAGCAAACAAAAGCCCAGGCCCAGATGGCTTCACGGGGGAGTTTTACCAAACATTCAAAAAAGAAGTAACACCCATTCTTCTCAAACTATTTCAAAAAATTCAAGAAGAAGGAAGACTTACAAACTCATTTTATGAGGCAAACATAATTATAATTCCAAAACGAGAAAAAGATACTACAAAGACAGAAAACTACAGGCCAATATCCCTGATGAACATAGATGCCAAAATCCTGAACAAAATACTAGCAAATCGGATCTAGAATACATCAAAAACATTATTCACCATGACCAAGTGGGATTCATCCAGGGATGCAAAGATGGTACAATATTCGCAAATCAATAATTTTGATACACCACATGAATAAAATTAAGAATAAAAACCACATGATCATATCAATACATGCCGAAAAAGCCTTTGACAAAATCCAGCATCCATTTCTAATAAAAACACTAAGCAATGTGGGAATAGAGGGATTATATCTCAACACAATAAAGGCCATATATGAAAGACTTATAGCCAACGTCATACTCAATGGGCAAACATTAAAAACATTTCCCTTAAGAACAGAAACAAGACAAAGATGCCCACTTTCACCACTCTTATTTAACATAGTATTGGAAGTCTTAGCCACAGCAATCAGACATGAAGAAAAAATGAAAGGGATCCAAATTGGAAAGGAGGAAGTGAAACGGTCATTATTTGCAGATGATATAATACTATATGTAGAAATCCCCGAAGACTCCATCAAAAATTTACTAGACTTACTAAATGAATTTGGCAAAGTAGCAAGACACAAAAGAACGTCAAGAAATCGATGGCATTCTTATACACCAATGATGAACTCACGGAAAGAGAAACTAATAAAACAATCCTATTTACCACTATGGCAAAAAAATTAAGATACCTAGGAATAAACTTAAACAAAGAAATAAAGGACCTATTCGCAGAAAACTATAAGTCATTGAAAAAAGAAATAGAGGAAGATATAAAAAAAGTGGAAGCACATACCCTGTTCATGGATTGGAAGAATTGACATCATTAAAATGTCCATACTACCCAAAGCAATCTATAGATTCAATGAAATCCCCATCAAACTGCCAATGGCATACTTCACAGAACTAGAACAAGTACTTAAAAAGTTCATATGGAACCAAAAAAGACCTCGAATAGCCACAGTAATCTTGAAAAAGAAGAACAAAGTAGGAGGAATCACATTACGAGATTTCAGGTTATACGACAAAGCCACTGTAATCAAAACAGCCTGGTACTGTCACAAGAACAGGCACATAGACCAGTGGATCAAAACAGAGAACTCAGAAATGGACCCAAGGCAATATGCTCAATTAATATTTGACAAAGGTGGCAAGAGCATACAGTGGAGTAAAAACAGCCTCTTTAATAAATGGTGTTGGGAAAATTGGACAGCTACATGCAGAAAAATGAAACTAGACCATCAACTTACACCCTACACAAAAATAAACTGAAAATGGATAAAAGACTTAAATGTAACTCATGAATCCATAAAAATCCTAGAAGAAAATGTAGGCAACAAAATTTCAGACATCATACACAGGTGAATTTTCAGTGATACATCACCTAAGGTAACAGAAACAAAGGAAAAAATGAACACATGTGACTACATGAAACTCAAAAGCTTCTGCACAGCAAAAGAAACACTCATCAAAATGGAAAGGCAACCCACTGTATGGGAGAGCATAATTGCCAATGATATATCAGATAAGGGGTTAATTTCCAATATATATAAAGTGCTCATACAACTCCACAAAAGGAAGACAAAGAATCCAATTAAAAAATGGGCAGAGGAACTGAATAGACACCTCTCCAAACAGGACATACAAATGGCTAAGAGACATATGAAGAAATGTTCATCATCACTAATCATCAGAGAGATGCAAATCAAAACAACAATGAGGTATCACCTCACACCTGTCAGAATGGCCGCCATCAACAAATCATCAAACAACAAGTGTTGGCGAGGGTGTGGAGAAAAGGGGACTCTAGTACACTGCTGGTGGGAATGCAGACTGGTGCAGCCACTATGGAAAACAATATGGTGTCACCTCAAAAAATTAAAAATTGATCTTCCATTTGACCCAGTGATCCCACTTCTAGGAATATACCCTAAGAAGCATAAAGCACCAATAAGAAAGAATATATGTACCCCCATCTTTGTAGCAGCACTATTTACAATCGCTAAGATCTGGAAACAGCCCAAGTGCCCATCAGTAGACGAATGGATCAAAAAGCTGTGGTACATATACACAATGGAGTACTACGCAGCGGTAAGAAAGAAGATCTCTTATCCTTTGAGACTACATGGAGGGACCTGGAAAGTATCATTCTAAGTGAAACAAGCCAAACAGAGAAAGACAAATTTCATATGATCTCACTGATTTGTGGAATATAATGAACATAACAGTTTGAGGAATGGGGTAGTCCCAGAGACGTGGAAGCGGGGTACAGACTGACAATCCCCTAAGGAGTGGGGAGGTGGGGGAGGGATGAACCACAGAACTTATATGCATGTATGCATGAACAGTGGACATGGACAACAATCTGGGGAAGGGGCAGGAAGGGAAGGGGGAGGGGGGAATCAGTGGGGGAAAAAAGAAGAATCATCTGTAACAAAAATTAATCAATAAAAAAAAAAAAAGAAAATAATGTACACTTGTGGCTAGAATAGCTAGCTTAAAACAGACTATACCTTATAGATGGGTATGGATGATATAAGGTTGACCTTTATTGATAGTTACTGCAGCTAGATATATGAGAGTCCATTATATTCTTTTATTTATACATGTATGTTTGCAATGATCTATAATAAAAAGTTTTTAAAAAATGGGGAAAAAAAGAAATATTAGAAAAAACTGGTAACAAGAACTCAAAAAACCCAAATTGCACCTGATGGTCTCAAGGGTCATGTTTTGGAAGTAAGCCTAGCTTACCTGAGAATGATGAAGTTGCATTTAGAAAATTCAAGCTAGTTACTGAGGATGTTCAAGGAAAAAACTAATTTTCATGGCATGGATCTTAACCTGTGAAAATGTGTTCGATGTTCAAAAAATACTAGGCCATGATTAAAGTTCATGTTGATGTTAAGACTATTGACAGTTATTTGATTCATCTATTCTCTATTGGTTTTACTAAAAAACACAGCAATCAGGTTCAGAAAACTTCTTAGGTTCAGCATCAAATCTAGAAAATGAGGAAATCAAGAGCCAAGAGGTGCAGACACATGACTTGAAAGAAGTAGTCAATAAATGTATTACAAATAGCATTGGAAAAGACATAGAAAAGGCTTGACAATCTATTTATCCACTCCATGATGTCTTTGTTAGAAAAGTAAAAATGCTGAAGCAGTCCAAGTATGAATTGGGAAAACTCATGAAGTTTCATGGATAAGGTCGCAGTTCTAAAAAAGGTACTGGGGATGAGACAAGTACTAAAAGTTAAATGAGCTGATAGATATGAGCCCCCGGTTCACGAATCTGTTTAAAATTCAGACCTTTAATGGTGACAAGTATAAGTCTATTTGTAATGTTTTTTAAAAAGTTTTTGAGGCCAAAACCCACCCAAAAGTTAATTACTTACGTTCTTTTTCAAATAGCTCTCTAACACCAGGCAAATCTTTTGCTGCTCCAAAGTATTTGTAACCTCGATTTCCTGGGACTTCTTTTCCTTCATGATCCAGCATTTTAGGGCCAACTTTCTTATTGGGGAAAAAAAAGGGAAAATGAATCTGATTCTTAAACCTACTATTTCCATATCTGCAAATATATTTAAACTAATCGTGTTTAACATGAAAAATATTTATGTACACAGAAAAATATTTAGGTCCTTGTCTATCCCTTAAAAAACCAATCTATACCTAAAAGTTAAATAAATTATTGCAAATTCATGGATGGAATATATTTTATACCTTAACAATGATAGTACTTTTATTTTCATAATGATGGTTCTTATATTGACTTTGAGAAATGCTTATATGATATGACATTAAGTGACAAAAGCTTACAAAAAATTGCAAACCACCTAAATGACAAGTCGTAAAGACTAATGCAATATCCAGAAAATACAATTCAATACATTTAAAATGATGATGTAGAAAACTACATAAAGTATGTGACACTGCACTAGGTGCCATACTAGAGGGGGAAATGCTATAAAGGACATTATCAAGAAAATCGATTAATCAGCCAAATAGATTAGATAAAATGATTGTATCAGTGTTAAATATCAAACTTGGTAGTTCTACCATGGTTATATAAGAGAACTTTCTTATTCTTAGGAAATGCACAGAGAAATATTAAGGAATAAAGGAGCGTCAGGTAGTTAAGCATTAAATGGTTAAGAAAAATAAATGTCAAGGTACACAAGAATATAATAAAGCTAATATAGAAAAATTTTAAAAACTGGTCAATCGGTATATAAAGGGTATATAAGAACTTGCTGTATATATCTGCAACTTTCTGTTAGCTCAAAATGCTTTTAAAAATGATTATATGAATGATTATTTACATGAAAATCTGCTCCTGATATATTGTTACATGAACAGAGAATACAGTTAAATATGAACCAATTTCTGAAAAAATAACATATATGCACAGAAAAAATTCTAGAAAATGTTTAGAGGAGTTATGTCTAAGTGGTAGAAAATACATAACATATCCCATATCACACTTAAAATACAATATAAATTTTTTGTATTTTATAATTTTTATATATTTTCTATTTTATGTATAAAAGTATACATACTGTTTATAACATCAAAACTACCACTTTAAAAAGAAACAAAACACAGAACCAAAATTGTACATATAGGGAGTATAATCTCAACTATGACATTAATAAAAAAACAGCCTGGCCGGTTTGGCCCAGCACTGAGAGCATTGACCTGTGGTCCAGAGAGACCCAGGTTCAGTTCCCGCTAAGGGCACATACCTCGGTTGCAGTTTGTCCCCAGCCCTGGTTGGGTCGTGAGGGTGGCAACCACTCGATGTGTCCCTTTCACGTCAATGTTTCTCTCTCGCTCGCTTCCTCTCTCTCCCTCCCAATCTTTCTGAACAAAAATGGAAAAATGTCCTTTGGTGAGGATAAAAAAAAAACAATGGGCCCTGGCCAGTGTGGCTCAGTTGACTGAAGCATCATCCTACACTGAAACATGGTAGATTCAATTCCCAGTCAGGGCACATACACAGGCTGTGGGTTCAATCCCTAGTCAGAGCACATATGGGAAGCAACCAAATGATGTTTCTTTCTTACATGATATTTCTCTACATGATGTATTCTAGCTCTCTTTCTCCCCTCACCCCTTCTTCTCTCTAAATCAATAATACATATATCTCCTTAGGTGAGGATTTTTTTAAAATATGGGATTATAAAAATCAGGAAGGAAATATTCAAGTATTGTACAGGTAATAATAACTAAGTGTTGTTCTACTTCTTCATACTTTTCTGAACTTCATGATAATGTGTTACTTTTTCTTTCTTTGTTGTGAATAAATACATACATCATAAAATTTACCCTTGGCCTGCCAATGTGGCTCAGTTGGTTGGGGCATCATTCCAAGCACTAAAAGGTTGCCAGTTCAATTCCCAGTGGGGGCACGTAGAGTAGGCAACTAATTAATGTTTCTCTCATACATGGCTATTTCTCCCCCTCCCCCCCCCTAAAATCAATAAAACATATCCTTGGGTGAGGATAAAAAAAAAATTTACCATCTTAACCATTCTTATGTATACATAACAATGGTATTAAATACATTCATAATGTCATTTAACCATCACCACCAACTCCTTTCATCTTGTAAAACTGAAACTCTAGCCCTGGCCAGTTTGGTTCAGTGGTTAGAGTTTCAGCCCGTGGATCAGAGTCACGGATTTGATTCCAGTCAAGGGCACATACCTCAGTTGCGGTTTGGTCCCTGGCCCTGGTTGGGATTGTGTGGGAGGTAACCAACTGATGTGTCTCTCTCATGTCAATGTTTCTGTCTCTCTCTCTCTCTCTCCCTGCCTCCGTCCCCCAGGCTCTATCTGAAGATAAATGGAAAAGTATCCACAGGTGAGGATTTAAAAATAAATAAATAAAATAAAACTGAAACTCTAAATGTATTACTTTTATACACAGTAAATGAAAATAAAGTTCTGAAGCATTAAAAAATCTTTGAATGGAAATACATTAAAACTTTAATGTTGATTTGGGGTGGTAGAAATTAAGAAAATCTTATATATTAATTTTGTAATGCTTCTGAAATTGTTTTTCTGTGAGGGCTAATAAATGTCTGCATTACTTTAATGCAGTCTGACAGGAAACAAAATCACCATCACAGAACTGCTAAAAGGTTCAATCAGAAAGTTACTACTGAATTGCCAAGAACACAATAGATGTTCATGAAATGTGAGTGCCTTTCCTTTTGCAATGGGAAGAATAAATGCTTCATTATAAGCCAGGTACTAAAGTGAGAATTATTATTGTGTTAGACCTTCACAAAGGTGAAAAGACCAACATGTAAAAAAACTGCCATGTATTTCCTACAAATTACAGCCCACTGATTAGATACTACTGCTTCAAATGACCTGGGGCAGATCTCTTCACAAATAGATAAATGATGCAAGCTCTGGGGCAGTATTTTTCAAGTTGAGACTCAGTGGTGGGTCATGAAATGAATTAAGTGGCTCACAATCATCAATATTTTAAAAATCAAACTAAAACAGAATAGAAAATACCAAAGCACATCAACACATACTAAGTATTTTTTCAGCACATGTTTCTGTTTCCTGAGCTGTTATATAGTGTGAGTGTAAGTGTGTGTGTGTGTGTGTGTGTGTGTGTGTGTGTGTGTGTGTTTTCAGTGGGTCATGGTCCCAAAAGCTTGAAAGCCTCTATTCTAGAGTACTGCATTTATAAGAGTCCAAAGAAAGGAAAGAATGAAGTGTCCCAAGGACCACTCTGGTAAAAATCCAATAATGGTCACCCCAATTCCCAAAGAGTTCAGACAAGAATGTGTGAGGGCCATGGTCATCTTAAGGCCCAGAGAGATCAACTGGCTTACTCAAGTTCATCTCACTGGTAAATGCAGGTGCCTTATCTGATCTGAGATCTGAGCTATGGCACCTTTAAACATTATCCAAACTATCCTTTCCATAGGCTTCTTGTCCACATGCAACAGGTACTTTTTCAAGCCTTTGTTCATGTCTTTAGTGCCTGCCATCTGGCAGGCAAGAGCTGGGAGCTGCAGGACCCCAGACAAGACCTACCCACCCTGTCCAAAAATGTACAAGCTCCCTGCAACAGCCACTGGAGCTGCTGCTTACTTACTACATAATCAGGACCACCCAGCTCCTTTATCCGGACCTCCCAGTGTCCTTTTTCTCTTAGCAGTTTGTTAATTTCATCATTCAGGTCACGAATTCGGAATTCACCTAAACCAGCTAGAAAACAAAAATACTCATATCATTTCCTCAAAACACCACTCAATTTTATCCATAAAAATAAATGCCACAGCAATAGTCATAGTAAGGGACTTTACCATAGAACTGACAGCACTGGACAGATCTTCCAGACAAAAATCAACAAGGGAACAGACACCTTAAATTACACACTAGATCAGATTAATTTAATGAAAATTTATAGAACACTTCATCCCAAAGCTGCAGAATATACATTATTCTCAAGAGCGCAAAGAACATTCTCAAAGACAGACCACATGTTAGAATAAAAAACAAGATTTTACAAGTTTAAGATTATTGAAATCATATCAAACATCTATTCAGATCACAAGGGTATGAAACAAGAAGTCAACTATAATAAAAACACTCAGCCCGGCCAGTGTGGCTCAGTGGTTGAGTATTGACCCATGCACCAAGAGGCTGCCTGTTCAATTCCCAATCAGGGCATATGCCCAGATTGTGAGACACATGCAGGAGGCGGCCAGTGGATGTTCTCTCACACTGATGTTTCTATCTCTCTCTCCCTTCTCCCTTCCTCTCTAAAATCAATAAAGAAAAAAATTTTTTTAAAGAAAACACTCAAGCCCTGGCCGGTTTGGCTCAGCGGTTAGAGCGTCCGCCTGCAGTCCGGAGAGGCCCGGGTTCGGTTCCCGCTAAGGGCATGTACCTCGGTTGCAGTTTGTCCCCGGCCCTGGTTGGTCGTGCGGGTGGCAGCCACTCGATGTGTCCCTTTCACATCGATGTTTCCCTCTCTCTCTCTTCCTCTCTCTCCCTCCCACTCTGTCTGTACAAAAAATGGAAAAATGTCCTCGGATGAGGATTAAAAAAAAAAAAAGAAAAGAAAACACTCAAAAACCTGTAAACACATGGAAGCTAAAAAGCATGTTATTAAACAATGAATGGGTTCACCAATGAGATCAAGAAAGAAAGAAAAACTTCCCAGAAACAACAGAACAACCCAAAATCTATAGGACACAGCAAAAGCAGTCCCAAGAAGGAAGTTCATAACACTGTAAGCCTACCTGAAGAAACAAAAAAAAAAATTTCCAATAAATGATCTAACCCTACAACTAAAATTACTGGAAAGAGAACAACAAGAAAAGCCCAGAGTAAGTGGAAAGAAGGAAATAATAAAGATCAGAGCGGAAATAAATGACATAGGGACTAAAAAAAAAAAATACAAAAGTAGAATGAAACCAAGAAGTGCTTCTTTGAGAACATAAACTAGATTGATCAACCTTTAGTCAAACACATCAAGAAACATAGAGCGAAGACTCAAATAAATAAAATCAGAAATGAAAGAGGTAAGGTAACAACTGACATCAGAAATATACAACGAATTGTAAGAAAATAACATGAACAACTATAGGTCAACAAATTAGACAACCTAGGCAAAATGGACAAATTCCTAGAAACATAAAATCTTCCAAAATTCAATCAGGAAGAATCAGAAAACCTGAATAGACAGATAACAATACAATTGAAGCAGTAATAAAAAATAAAAAAACTCTCAGCAAACTAAAGTCCTGAATAGAATGGTTTCACAGGTGAGTTTTACCAAACATTCAAAGGAGAACTAACACCCATTCTCCTCCAATTACTCCAAAAATTCAAGAAAAAGGAAGACTTCCAAGTTCTTTATACGAGGCCAGCATTATCCTAATGCCAAAATAAGATAAAGACACTACAAAGAAAGATAATTAGAGGCCAACATCCCTGATGAACTTAGATGCTAAAATCCTCGACAAAATACTAGCCAACTGGATCCAGCAATACATTAAAAAGATCATACACCATGACCAAATGGGATTTACTCCAGGGATGGAAGGTTGGTACAATATTCACAAATCAATAAATGTGATATACATCACAAAGAATGAAAGATAAAAATCACACGATCATATAAATAGATGCAGAAAAAGGATTTGACATAATCCAGTCCCCATTTATGATTGAAAACTCTCAGGAAAGTGGAAATAGTGGGATCATACCCCAATATAATAAAGGCCATATATGACAAACTTACAGCCAACATCATACTCAATGGGCAAAAACTAAAAGCGTTTTCCTTAAGAACAGGAACAAGACAGGGATGTCTGATTTCACCACTGTTATTCAACACATTATTGGAAGTCCTAGCCACAACGATCAAACAAGAAAAAATAAAAGGCATCTAAATGGGAAAGGAGAAAGTAAAATGTCATTATTTGCAGATGACATGATATTGTACATAGAAAACCCTAAAAACTCCACCAAAAGACTACTAGATTTAATAAATGAATTCAGCAAAGTGGGAGAATACAAAATTAACATCCAAAAATCAATGTATTATACAGCAGTAATCAACTGTCAGAAAGAGAAAATAATAAGACAATGCCATTTATCATTACAACAACAACAAAAAATAAGATACCTAGAAATAAATGTAACCAAGGAGGTAAAACACGTGTACTTGGAAAACTGTAGGACATAAAAAAAGAAATAGAGTAAGATACGAACTATTGGAAGCATATACTGTTTCATGGATTGGAAGAATTAACATCATTAAAATGTCCAAACTACCCAAAGCAATTTATAGATTCAACACAATCTCTATTAAAAAACCAATAGCATATTTCACAGATCTAGAACAAACATTCCAAAAATTTACATGGAACCAAAAAAGACCCTGAATGGCCACAGAAATTTTGAGACAGAAGAACAAAGTTGGAGGGATCACAATACCAGATAACAAACTATACCACAAAGCCACTGTAATCAAAACAGCCTGGTACTGGCACAAGAACAGGCATATAAATCAATGCAACAGAACAGTGAGCCTGGAAATCAACCCATGCCATTATGTTCAATTGGTATTTGACAAAGAAAGCAAGGGCATACAATGGAATAGAGACATTATCTTCAATAAATAATGTTAAAAAAATTGAACAGGTACATGCAAAGAAACAAAACTATACCACCAACTGACATCATACATAAGAATAAACTCAAAATGAATAAAAGACTTAAATGTAAGTCACGAAACCATAAAAATCCTAGAAGAAAACATAGGCAATAAAACCCCAGATATGTCTCATACCACAATTTTTACCAATGCATCCCCTAGGGCAAGAGAAACAAAGAAAAAATAAAATGAAAACAAATGGGACTACATCAAAAAAGTTTCCACACAGCAAAAGGAATCATCATCAAAATGAAAAGGGAACCCACTGTAAAGAACATATTTGCCAATGATACAACTGATAAGAGGTTAATTTCCAAAATATATCAAGAATTCATACAACTCAACAAAAGGAAGACAAACAATACAATTTAAAAATGGAGCCCAGACAGTTGGTTGAGCACTGTTCCATGCACCAAGAGGTCATCAGTTCAATTCCCGGTCAGGGCACATGTCCAGGTTGTGGGTTTGATCCCTGTGAGGGAGTGTGGAGCGGACAGCCAACTGACATTTCTTTCCCATTGGTATTTCTCTCTCTCTCCTTCCCACTTCCTCTCTCTGAAAATGAATAAAAACACAATTTTTTGTTTTTGTTTTTAAATGGGCAGCCCGGCAGGTGTGGCTCAGGGGACTGAGCATGATCCAATAGACTGAGAGGTCCCAGTTCAATTCCCAGTCAGGGAACATGCCTAGGTTACAGGCTCAATCCCCAGTGGGGGGAGTTCAGGAAGCACTGAATCAATGTTTCTCTCGCACATCAATGTTTCTATCTCTCTCTCCCTTACTCTCTCTCTAAAAAAAAACAATAATTTTTTTTTTTTTTTTTTGCCCAGGCCAGTTTGGCTCAGCGGTTGAGCATCGGCCTGTGGATCAGAGAGTCCTGGGTTCAGTTCCCGCTAGGGGCACATACCAAAAAAAATATATATATATTTTGTTAAATGGGCAAAAGAGCTGAACAGACAATCCTTCAAAGAAGAAATAGTGATGGCCACAGACATGTGTAAAAATGCTCAACATCAGTAATCATCAGAGAGATGCAAATTAAAACTACAATAAAGTATCTCCTCAACCTACCAGAATGGTTAAGTCAACAAACAAGTGCTGGAACAGATGTGGAGTAAAGGGAAAGCTAATACAATGTTGGTGGAAATGCAGACTGGTGCAAACACTGTGGAAAACAGCATGAAGTTTCCTCAAAAAATTAAATATGGAACTACCCTTTGACCCAGCAATGCCACTTCTGGGAATATATCCTAAAAATCCCAAAACACCAATCACAAAGAATATATGCACCCCTATGTTCATAGCAGTGTTATTTACTATAGCTAAGATTTGGAAACAACCCAAGTGCCCATTTTTGATGAGTGAATAAAAAAGCTGTGGTACATTTTATACAATGGAGTACTATGTGGCTGTAAAAAGAATCTCTTACACTTTAAGGCAGCATGAATGAACCTGGGGATTATTATGCTAAGCGAAATAAGCTAGTCAGAGAAATACAAATATTACATGATTGCATTTATATGTGGAATCTAATAACAAAATAAACTGATGAACAAAATAGACCCAGAGGCATGAATACATGGAACAGATTGACAGATCTCAGAGGGGAGGAGTGTTGGGGGACAGGAAGAGACTAACCAATAAATTTATATGTATATATGCAAAGCCCATGGACACAGAAAATAGGGTAGTGAAGGCACTGGGGCAGGGGTTAGGCTGAGGAGGACAAAGGGAGGGGAGAAATGGGGAATATCTGTAATACTGTCAACAACAACAATAATGAATGTCAATGTATAAAAGTACATACAACATAAAAATACTCATTTTATATATTTTTTAAAACCCTCAACACACAAATAAATGAATAATCAAGGATTATGAACATAGTTCCCACCAGTATGGGGGGAGGGGGAATCCTTGAAAAAAACTTCATCTGTATTAGCAACCAAAAAAATATAAACTGAAGCAATCCTGTAGTTCTATTTACATAACTATTAAAATAGCAAAATCTTAGAGGTGGTACACTTAGCCTCCAATT